AAATATAACATCTTGAAAACAAAATCTAGGGAATATTCACACCCACAGGGCATCTTAAAAGTCAGCCGGGTCCAAAACTGCTAAAGCTCCTCTTGTTGAGAGAAGACCCCGGAGTCCACCTACCGCCTGAGGGTTTGCGGACTCCCCGGAGCAGATGGGGGGCTTCCCTCGCCATGTCCGTCCTGTTGCAGAGGGCGCTGGGCAACACGGAGGAGCTGCCGCTGCTGCTGCTCTCATCGCCGACCGGCTTCCCCGCGAACCCTGAAAAAGAGCGAGCGCGTCAACCGGCCGTCCTCACCGGCACCCGGGGCTCATCGAGTGGAACATCCGGATAACACTGTCCCAGCAGGGGAGGAACAAGCAACAGCAGAAGGTTTGGGGGGGCGGGGGGCTGACTCTGCCCACATTACCTGTTACGGAAGGGAGAGCAGTGAATAAAGCGGGGGGGGGGGACAAGGGTAACCCCCCCTCAACTTACAACCGTGGTTGAGTCTGGAATGAACGTGTTGGTTGTTAAGCAGAGGGCGATGAGAGTGCGTTAAAAGGCCATGGATGAAAAGGATTGGCCAAAATGGATGGATGGCAAATATATGATATAGGATAGGATATGATAGATGCATGGATGATATTATATAGGATGGATGGATAGAAAGAGTAGGTAGGTAGGTAGGTAGGTAGGTAGGTAGACAGATGGTAGATAGGGATAGATAAGACAGACATGGATGGATTGATAGACAGACAGGCAGACAGACGATAGACATAGATATATGGGCCACAATTCATACCTTCCAGATGAGTGTTTTTAACTTCAGGAATTTTAAGATGGGTGGACTTCAATTCCCAGAATACCCCAGCCAGCGTAAGTCCACCCATCTTAACATTCCCATGCCTGAATAACCCTTGCTTTCGGCTCAGATCAAGCCAATCATAGCAGCAACTAGGAATGCCTGGGAGTGAAGGGGACACATGGGTGTGGTGGTCCAGAGGGGAAGGGGAGCTTCCACTTACCAGAGGAGGGTTCCATGTGGGCCCCATTGACTTTCAGCGGGGTCAGGACCACGCGTGGAAGCATCACGCCCGTCTTCTTCTTCTGTCTGCTCACCTGTTCGGAGAGAAACCGAGAGATTGTCAGGGGGGGGACAGTGAGGAAGCCCGAAGGTCCGGGATCTGCCTCTCTCTCTCGGCAGGAAAGACCAGAGGCCCATTTCAGGACAGCTCAGCCTAGTGGTCGTAACCTCAGAAGCGAAAACAAGGCCAGCTCTGCTGAAGAACTTTATGGGTCTTTGAGCCAGCCGATGGAGCAGGCGGGTGGTAACTGTTCTACACAGCCTCGATACAGGTAGTCCTCGACTTACGGCCACAATTGAGCCCAGAGTTTATGTGGCTAAGTGAGAAATCTGTTACGTTTTGTGACCTTTCAGAAGGCTAGGAGAGTTGGGGGGGGGTGCACTACACCTCGGGCCGTGGGAGGGATGGGGAGAGAGGAGAAGTTAGTTAGAGAGAAGTAGACCTAATGGATATATATATATATATATACACACACACACACAC